CCGATCAGTCAACGCGTTGAACCAAAACAATTATTACTACTATTGCTGCTGCTCTACAAAGAACACATGCAGCCCGAGGAGGAATCCTGCTCCTGCTGCTGCTGCTGCTGCCACATCTCGATTGGAGCCGCCAGCTCGTAGCTCACTGCTGCACCGGACAGAATTCAATGTAAAGTAGCAGTCAGGATGACGGATGATCCTCCACCCATTTCGTTCACAGGGCCGGTTAGTTGCCTCCTTATCACTCTACTATTAGGACTTGGCAGTACAGAAGTCACCGATGCTCCAGACAAGATAACCACAATGCAGTTCTTCAGGAACCGGTGGTTTGGCACAATGCTGATGGTTGAGAGCTGGTTGCACGGCGAACTCGTGCGTGCGTGCGGTTGTGCACTGCCGAGACCCCTCCGTTTGTCCTGCCTGCGCGCGCAATGACTTCAGTTGCCGTTGGCATTCCCCGCTACGTTTTTTTATGGATTTGATTTGAGTGACATCACACGTAGGTCAGGGTGATGTGTAGCACAGCCCGGTGGAGGCGTGCGCTGCCCAGGGCTTCACCTTCCCGTGCGCAATCCCTCGCAAAAAAACAAAGAGTGGCGAGCTCCAGGGCCGCTGGCGTGCCGGAATAACGGCGCGTGGATGCGGTGACTTACGGGCGATCCAGCAAGAATGGCGGAAAAATATCAAAGCTGCCCGGATTTCAAACGAAGCGAGAAAACTCCTCAACGCGACTGACGTGAGGGAAGGGGGGGGGGGCGTGAAAGCTGTGGCAAGAGAAGAGCCGCCAATTCGAGGCAAGCTCGTGGGTATGGCTGTGGCCCACAGGACGAACTGTGCGACCGCTGGGCTCGTGTCGAGTGTTTACTCCCCTTCGCAAGAAGCCCCACGCTGCGACATTTTCCTTTTTCTATGATAATTGTTTTTGATACGCAGTCGCTCAAGTTGCCGAGCAAGCGGGCTCGCAATCGGAAGGCTGCGACTTCAAATCCTGTTTGTTGCGGGATGACTCAGCCCATCATCCCCCCCCCGACCACCGCGGTCGATAAAATAGATACCACTCTATGGGGGAAGACCAAAGTGGTTTGTCCCGATTCTTAATTGACGTTTGAGTTAAGCACCCCTAAGAATCAGAATTTTTCTTTTTTTCTTTTATCTTGGGGAAAAATCCCATGTGCTACCAAGCTCTTTTTCACACACATCCGGGAAGGGTTACGGGATCAGATCACCACGACGTGGACTCGCCTAAAACCCTGCGTTATGAATCAGGAAACTGGCTGCAAAAACGATGCATTAAGTGATTGTCCTCGCCATAGGACTGTGGAATTTCCACCACTAACTCGGGGCTGTAAACGGGAGATGAGCACGATCTCAGCGCTCACGTGAGCGTACGTAGCCAACCGTGCTAAACGGAGGAGCGATGCAACCCCCTTAAACTCGCAAGTCGACGTCTACCGGCGTGGTCACCCTATCCACTCTGTCGAGGTGCATTCTATTTCAACAGCAAGGAGGCAACAACAAAAAACCAAGCCCAACTCTCCAAACGCAAGATAACGTCGGTGAATCCTCACGCGCATAAAATGTCACGCACGCTGCCACGAGCGTTGTGGTTCTTGAAACGTCAGCGTGCACCTTTCTAATTTCCGAGCGGTAAAACGACGGCAGCACGCTGCGAAGCAAGATCGTCTACCACAAAACGCGCTGGCATCCACGCGCCGGAACGATCAACTTCCGAACAGACTTCATCCCACTGCTGCTCTCGCTAAGTGGGAGGGCCTTGTAAAGCCGTCGTTTATCCACTTAGGTGGTGTCTGCAGTTGAGACGCTGACAGCGCGCGGCGATCCCCTGCTTAAAAATACTCGGGCGATCTTTAGACACGGCCTTGACGGCACAAGTGAACGGTACGCTGCACGGTGCACACGCGGCGCGCGTGGATGTCAGCGTGCGCGCACGGTGCACAAGCGAGCATGGGTCTCGGCGCACGCTGCAGCGACCTCCTTCCCCCCCCCCACCCCCCCGTGATTCAATCACTTGTCCCAATTGTGAGTCACGATTCAGCCCGAACAATACCTTCCTTTTTTTACATCGTGATAATAACAATTTAGAAATTGTAAAGCGCACAATTTGTGTTCACTCTGGGAGAGAGCGAGAGACAGAAAGATTGATTCTAAGACGTGGAAAACCCACAGACAAGCAGCCAGTGCCGACTCCAAACAGGCATCCAGCTCTGTGGTCCTACATCAGGACGTTTGGTCAACACCACCCACGAAGTGTTTGTTGTCCATGAAGGAGAGACCAGAGCATCCTGAAAAAAAGCCCCACAGGTGCGAGAGAGGCTGACACTCAATCCCCGTAGAGATGTGAATGAACCTGCTTGTCACGCCGCCACCACTCCCCGGGCGAGCCCCGGGCGAGAGATGGCAAATCCTGGCAGCCCACGGGACAGGCGGCGCTCTCCGCGCCTTCACGGCGCGAGAGCGACCAATGCGGCGGCCAACGGCTGCAGAGGGGATTAATCGATGAAAACCATCGACTTGATACCATCCGGTACGTGGACATTAGCCCCGAATCCTGCCAGGCAAAAAGCCATCGCTGACGGGTTGATGGTTCATCATGTTTCCATCCGAAGGTGACATGAACTCGGTTTATGTTTTTTTTTTTACCAGCCAAAAGCAGAGGGTCTCACACGAAAGAGTAATACACAGAGGACAAATCACGGACGTTTGTCAATTCTGCAATGCTTCCCAACACACCTTTGTCCTCGATAAGGATTTCATAGGAGATAACAATGTGGATTATGTCGCGTGTGCGCTGCCGTCATCGGGAGGTGATGTCGCGAGGTTGCTTCGCACGCTCACACGCGCTTACACGCTCACACGCGCTTACACGCCCACGCCATTACTCCATCGAGAGCAGGAGCAGGCGCTGGCCGCACGACATCTATACGACACGCATATGGCGCATGACATGACCACACTGGCCGAGGAGGCCTACCGAGCGTCGGTAGATATTTATCACCAAGCACTGGGCAACCGTTTGATCATTTGGCTCCGTTTTCTCTGGGGTGAGTCCCTAATAGCAACACCACTTTTGACCAAAATTTTATTTACATCGGATCACCTGTACACGAATTACAGTGTCCTCACATCACGGACGGAGTGACGCACCCACAGAGCAGACGGGCAGAGCTGATGCATAAATGCTTTAAAAATATATACTCAGCCGCACGCGTTAAAACGCAGAGCAGGAAAGTAGGGTTCAGTCAGGGCGAACGAATCCGGCAATACACACGGCGCATGCAGCCCGCATCTTACAATTCAGTTCGGAGCAAAAGAAAAGTTACAAACCGTTGTTCAATTTGGATAGGCCTCCTACCGAGCAAAAGCTGTTCTCTTTCAGGTTTCTTTTCAGTAACTTAGCGCGGAAACAGATGTCAGCGGCGGCGTTGCAGGCGAGCGTATTTTCTAACCAGAGCATCAAACGCACAGCCACTCATGGAACCCATAAAATGCACAATTACACAGACACAACAGCGGTCATCAATTCCACCAGCCCAAACTCACCAGTGCCACAGGCTCGATTATGACGGTACGTTGAATTATGTGAAAATCAATGGCTCTAAATGAGTTTTTTTTTTCAAAATATTAGATCCGACGGACAGGCCCGATGTTTTGCGGAGCATATTTAGCACGATATGTGAATGCAGGATAAGTCAACAAAATGTGTAAAGATTACTAAAATACACTCACTCTGCAGAGCGCCCGTGCACTTGTGTTAATGCGACAAAATCCACATGCCAGCGCTTCAACAGTTAAAAGATTAACTTTTGCAAAGTATGTAACTTGCAATTTAATACGGAGGCTTTCGCGACCAGCAGATCTTGTGGCTTTGCTCTCCGACACACCGGTGTGCTGCGCTAGGAATGAATTGCCATGTTTTGTTTACGTGACAAACCTTACTAATGGGCTGTGTCAGGTGGTGGTGGGTTTAAGGACACACTGATATTTCTGCAATCTAGCGACCCGGCGGGAATTTCTGCTGTGGACAGTGGCATCGACAAACTCAACTATAAACCTTGACTTAAAGCTTTCGTGACTGCAGGAATTAATATTCTTTGGGTCTTTCGGTAACATCACGTAGATAGAAAAATAATAAATTGTTAAAAAAATCACGACGTTTCGATCGCAACACAAGCAATCGTCTTCAGGTAAAAAAATACAGCAGACGGACTGCTGAGGCAGGAAGAAATATCGCGAGAGCTACTGCAGACAAAGGTTATAGATGTTTGAAATGCACGGGGCTAGAGATGATATTGTGGTTAATGCAGACATAATTATCCGAGGTATTCCGAGCTGTGCGATCTTACATTTACTTGCAAAAGCTCTCTGCGATCTTACATTTACTTGCAAAAGCTCTCTTTCAGAAGAGACCTGGCCACAGATGATAGCTCAACGAAGTGGCTTATCAAGTGCAAATTTACAGCAGCTAAATATTATGAACGCATGTTGATTCTAAATGTGAAGGGAGGACCTGGAGAAAAATCCACGTGACCAGGGGGAAAGAGACAACACACAAACTCCAAATACATAGGCGTCACGGTCAGGATGGAACCCACGGCCTCCTGCATACCAGGCGAGGTAGTTAACATCTCGCCACCGCAGCGCCCCATAGAAAACATGGGAGAGTCGTGGCGCAGTCGCGAACGTATCGTGCTAAGAACCCAGCGACCAGAGTTCCATTCCTAGTCGTGAGTAACATCGGCGACGAGTGATATGGATATATTTGGAAGCATTTCTATTGTTGCACATCAACTTCTTAAAATGTCACATTCATGTTTGCTAATGAGCAGCTGAATCGACAAAAAGATAAGTGATCACCATAATAAAATACGAAATGAGGGACGGGACGCAACATCAACCTACACTTCCATTTGCTTGCTTAAAAAAAAACATCCGACCTTCCAAGCCATGAAAAAATCCACGGACATGCACACGCAACTCACCTTCGGCGTGAAGAGGCTTTACGGTTTTCGGCAAAGACGATCCACATCTGCCCTGGATGCTTGTCCAGATGGCTACTTCTTCTGCTCCTCCTCCAGCTGTCACTGCCGTTGTTGCTACCGCTGCTGCTGCTGCTCACAACGCAGACAGGAAGAGGCGCCGCACGTTGACGTTGTGCGCAGTGCGTGTTGAAGAGACCCGAGTGACTGAGCACCCTGTGCTTAAAGGTTCAACACTTTAAAGAGCATTCCCCCACGTATTTTCGGCACTGCCTGCTTTCATGACGAGCGTCGGGGGGATGGCAGATGCCTGGCGCCGCGAAACAACATTTGTCATCGGCCAGCGAGGGTCCTCCATCAGCCGTGACCTCGCGGCCGGCGGAGAGAGAGAGCGCGAGCGAGCGAGCGAGCGAGGCGCTGTCCCCCACAAGTCCCACGGTCATTTCCAAAATAAATGATTTCCCTTTCTCCCCACGGGTCGGCCGAGCGGCAGCAGCAGCGTCTACTCTGATCGCACGAATCCGAACGCTGCTGATGCACACCCCGAATGCCAAAGCCGGCGCACAGTTTGCTTCTATCCGGGTGAACCAAAGCTGTCGATGTTGTTCCGTGCGGCACAATGGGATGTGTAAAAAGAGACTTATTGTATTTTATTGAGGGGGGGGAGAGATGTGGAGGAGGCGTATTGTCGGCACGCTTATTGTGTTACCCGCGTTGTCGGCAACGACGCCGAGCAATTATTTTGCGTTACAATCACCCCCTTGCCCTCTTGGCATACGCACCCACCATGGAGCACTCGGAAACACGCAACACGCGTGACCACAATAGAAAGTTGTCAACACTTAACGTGAACAATGCCCGTCTATTTTGGCATTGGCCAGGAGCACCATCTCGGTGTTATTTCCAGAAATCTCCGGCAGTCTCAAACCTCCACAAAAACCACAACGGTGGCCCGTGAACTGCTAATGGCAGCTAAAAGGCGCGGCGGCGTGCACACGCGCGCGTTTTCGAGCAGACGAAATGGAAACATTTGAGCAATTTAATTTCGAAAAGTGGGGCGAGCAAAGGATTTGAAAATATAAAAATAATCATCAACTGGATATAATCACCACATGTTATATTGGAATTCATAGCAACACGGTGAGCCCTTGTTACCACAGCAGCACATGCTGGGGACTTCTGAAAACTATGCTCTCCGTACAAGGCGACCTCCTGGATAAAATGAGTAAAGAATTACGTTAAAGGGAAATATAATTCGTGATTTGTTTGTCCCTGATACCAACTCCACCATTCCGACTGTGTGGCACATGCCAAAAAGTCGGTACTAGTGAAGCAGACAGCGCAATGTCTGCGAAACATCACGTGTTGAATCACTCACCACACTGCAAGTCACAACACACTCACCCACTCACCACACTGCAAGTCACAACACACTCACCCACTCACCACACTGCAGGTCACAACACACTCACCCACTCACCACACTGCAGGTCACAACACACTCACACATTCACTCACTCACCACACTGCAAATCACAACACACTCATCCACTCACCACACTGCAAGTCACAACACACTCACCCACTCACCACACTGCAAGTCACAACACACTCACCCACTCACCACACTGCAAGTCACAACACACTCACCCACTCACCACACTGCAGGTCACAACACACTCACCCACTCACCACACTGCAGGTCACAACACACTCACCCACTCACCACACTGCAGGTCACAACACACTCACCCACTCACCCACTCACCCACTCACCCACTCACCCACTCACCACACTGCAAGTCACAACACACTCACCCACTCAACCCCACTGCAGGTTACAACACACTCACCCACTCACCACACTGCAAGTCACAACACACTCACCCACTCACCACACTGCAGGTCACAACAACACTCAACCACTCACCCACTCACCACACTGCAAGTCACAACACACTCACCCACTCACTCACCACACTGCAAGTCACGACACATTCACCCCCTCACTCACTCACCACACTGCAGGTCACAACACACTCACCCACCCACTCACCACACTACAAGTCACAACAATTTATCTTTCTGCTTCTTAAATCGCGCTGCTCCACATTTGAATTCCCTTGCTCCCATCGTCTTTTGTCCCCCAGGGCTCTTATACAATTACAATAACCTTGCTCAAGCCAAGAAACGTGTTACACTCATATCTATTCCACCTTCAACGGTGCCGTCTGTTGCTGGCCGCATGACATTTTTGGGCCACTGGGGCCTGGGTTCGGCAACTGTTACCACGGTAACACACCGCCTTGATTACGCAGTGGCAGCAGAAATGCTCTCATCATCACCACATTCTTCCTATTGCCCACAATTCCCGTGGATAAGGAGATGATAGCAATCCTGCTGCTGATAATGATCATCATCATCATCAGTGGCAGCAGCATCAGCAACAGCAGCAGCATCATCATTAACATCATCAGCGGCAGCAGCATCACCAGCAGAATCATCATCAGCAACAGCATCAGCATCATCAGCAGCAGCAGCAGTATCATCATCAGCAGTATCAGCGTTTCTGTTTTTGCTTGCAATACTGCTACTGCTGCGGTACAATTAACATATTCAGGAAAGGTTTATGGAGCCTAGCGACGCGTTTTCAGGAGGGTCCTGCATTTTATTTTCGTGTTTTACACGCGGGAGGAAGTTCCTGGAGCCGAAGAAAACCCACGCCTGTGTCGGGAGAATGCTCACAAAGTTCCACGCTGATGTTTCACAAACCCACTTGATATGTGACCAGGTAGGGCCCACGGAGCTATCTATCTCTTTCTCAGGAGCGGCCTGGCTATCACACGAGTGATAGCTCAACAAAGTGATTAACGTGTGGAAATATGTATAGCAACCAAATACTTCTAAATGCGGTGGGAAAAACCGGAGGACCCGGAGAAAAAGTCCACGCGGCGACAGGGAGGGAGACATGCAAACGCCAAACATACAGGCGCCAGGGACGGGATGGAACCCACGACCTGCTATTATGAGGCAAGGGAGTTAACATCTCTTAGCCACTGTGGCGTACCCACACATGAAACTTTTTTCATCTTAATACTGGAAAAAGGGTCCCATAGATATGATCATTATTATTATTCATTAATGCTCAATTGCACTAGAGTCACTCTCACTCAACTTGTCTTCGGTTCCCGTGTGCGCGGATGAGACGAGGGATAGAATCGGCAGCTGCAGGAAAAACATTTCAGGAGAGAGGATGGCCCAACGCAGAGATAAAGTGATGAGATCGGTTCATGTAAAAAATAAAAATGTTACTCTCTCTCGTTCCTTTTACTCACACCCGACAAACAGCCTGAGCCACGAGCAGGAAACGTCCGGTTCAGCAGGAGCGGCGCAATCCTGCTTGAGATACTACAGAGGCGGCGGTGGCGAGCATTCGACGCGCACACACACACCCACGCACACTCAAATTCGTTTGCAGCGGACAGAACCGGTCCCGCGTCCCCTCGGCGCGCCGTCGCGCGGAGGCTGGGCCCTCGGACAGGACGGGACTTCAAAGCTCTCACCTAGAACGACCTCTGGCCGAGGAAGCGCAGGTAAAGCCTGCCAGCCCACACGTCCAGCAGCGGCAAGCGAGTGAAAGGCAAACCAGGTAAATGGCTGTAGTCGGCTAGGGCCAAGCCCCCCCCACCACCCACCCACCACTACCTGCAATCTCAATTAAGCTTTTAATGGATTCACTTCCATTCAAAAGAAACACGCGGTCAAACTAATACGGCACGTGAAGCCAAAGCTAGGTTTTGAACCACTGCACTGTCTCCCCGCTTAGTTGCATTATTTGTATTCGTTATATGCTGACGATGATGTTAATATCACCGTGAGGATTACTGGCATACAAATCCTACAAGGCGTATGTACATAAGGTCCGGCTTTTATTTTTTTATTCGTAGCGAATTGATGGCTTCAACCAGGCCACAAATGACTGCAAAAAATAAACCAGCATTAAGTTTGAGTGATTCTGTATTTGGCAAAAATCGCAGAAATAAGTTCAAAAATGAAACAAATAGAAATCGAGCCAAATTAACCAAACAATAAGAAATTGCCGTGGATGTTGGACGTACAGTGATTCCGTCACCACCTCCCGTGGGGCTGAGATCTCTAACACAGGGTGAAGCGATGGTCTCCGGGTCAGAGTTCCCAAAGGTGATTTCATCTCACAGTAAGACACCAACAATAACCGTTGGGAGTAAAATAAGGGAAGAAATGTGGGAAGATGAAAATTAAAACTACTTTTACAAAATGTCCATTCCATTCTACTCATCCGCAGGACTGCTGCCACTCAAGTTCTCTCAACAACAAGCCTACGAACAAACACGCAGCCCACATCGTGCAGGTCTTTGCATGGAACATTCCCGAACTGCTATTCGTGTTCCAGTTTGTTGTCCTCCGCACCGCCGATTAGTACGGTGGGCCACGTACGGCGCGAAAAAAGTTTAACGTACGTACACACAAAAGGGTCACCCCCCCCCTTCTCTTCTAATCGCTCCCCTCCAGCGCTCGCACAATCCCCCCCCCCCACTCCGGTTCCTGGCAAAGCCAACGTGCTAGACGTGGCCACCGAGACGCTACGCCCCCCCCCCCCCCTACCGTCGAGGCGACAGAGTCTGTCGCCTCGACGGACCTGTCGCCTCGACGGACCTGGTTTTCACCTGAGGACGGCTGCTTGCGCTGTGGCCGAAACATCGTGAGAATAATTTTATGTTTTATTTTTATTATTTTATTACTTCCCTTCTACGTGACTTTACCGAAAAAACCAAGAAGATGAATCCCTGCAGTCACGAAAGCTTTAAATCATGATAAAGGGGTGTTTTTTGGGTTAGATCGTGTAAACATAAATGTGTCGTTAAACCCGCCAACCACCCGACAAAGCCAATCAGTAAGGTTTGTGACGTAAACAAAACATGCCAATTGTTCCTAATTCAGCATTGGAGTGGCACGTGCCCCCCCAATGAACCGATCGAAATCCCTATTTTGATCGACTCATTGGGGTTTATTAGTAATAAATCGGCATTTTGCGACCCCCACTGCCACTGTGCCAGGGACTCTATGAGATGACAGGACAATAATCTGAGTCC